TAATTAATGCATGTGATTAAGTAGGCACGAGATGTCTTTCAAAAACATTCAGTGACTACTCAGAAAACATTCGTTGATGCAATGTATATTCATACAAACTTAGGACGCTTCACATTGTCTGTACAGGCATGTTTCAACTTCCTAAGCTCGCCTTATCCACCTTCTTATTGTTCATCTACTCCCATTCTTTCTCCTCGTCCTCATTGTTATTGGTATCTTCTCGATCTCCATTTTTTAAATTTAAATCCCTTTTCTCCTCTTTCTCTCCGCCACCTTTTCTTGTTACTCTTCTTCTCTCTACCTGTTTTTTTTTTTTTTTACTATGAAACCTACTTCAAACTTGTAATATAGTTTTTGAGAACCTTTAGACGGTATGCCACAAAGGTGACTTCTTGTTCACTCTACACCCACTCCGCCCCCTCCCCACCCCTTAACCAACCATCAAAACCATCTAATCCCAGGGTATTGGCTGGAAAACTGCTGACAATCGTATACGCAAAACCTGTTAGAGAAACATAATAAGAAGAAACTCCACAGAAGAGCATGTACAGCAGGAGTCTACCAATCGTCAGTAGAAGTCCTCTCTCGTCGACAAATGTTTCGGCCCACGAGCTCCTTAAACTCAAGCCAAGCGAGCTCACACATGCTGTTCTTTGTGTGGATTCCAATGCTCAGTTTTGGTGGGGACAATCAACAGACCTACTAACCCCAATTACAGTTCTGTTTAAAGTTAGTTGCGTATCTACTACAGCATTGTAAGTTGCATGACCAACCCCAACATTTTTTTTATAGCTGTTTGGGATTTTGCTGTGCAGTTTTACGTTTAGTAGTTTGCCACTGCTTTCTGTACGATCGGATACCACTGACAAAACCAGTACAGTGCGGTCTGTTGATAAGCATGTCGAAAACCGACTTATTTGGGAATAGATGATATTCGATGGGTTGGTGAGAAGGGTGCAGATAGTCCAGTCGGCACTCGGTGGGTGATGTGGTCAGCATCACAAAAGTCGTCTTTATTCGACCTGGTAGCCAAGTTCATGCCTTTAAAAAAAAATTCCGGATTCCTTCGTATTTGAACCCACGACCTTCAGATCAGCAGGCGAACATAGTCTTTTAATGTTACTGAAATAGTTAACTTGTATTTGTAATATCTTTCAGTAACAAGTTGTTTCTCCCCATACAAAATCTCTCAAAAGCCTGTGTATTCGATCATTGTTGTTTTCTTTTTCTTTTCCTTGAAAGAATTTTACACTTCTGTGCGTCCACGCCTTGGCTCTACTTTCCAATTTCTTGTTTATTTGTTAGGTTGTTGCGCCATACAGTAGGGCTGAAGACAGCATTTAGCGGTTTTTTTTTTAAAATTATTACTGTGCATATAATTATTTATTTTCACATGACACACATACATACACACTTACTGGTAACTGTGTTGTCGAATGTGACGTCATCAACACTGTTGCCCCTCCCGCTGTCGCTTGTATTTGTGTCTCCCGACGTGTCGCTAATGACGTCATCGCCCTGAAAAAGGACAACCATTAAATGTTTTAGTATTCTAGACAAAGCATTAAAGTCTACTGTGTTTGTAAATTGTTGCTGTGATTGTTATTCGACATATGCTTCGTTAATATATATTTCTGTAACTTATGGTGCCATTTAAATGGTTTGAAATGAATTCTGTCGGCATTCCATAGTTGTTGATTTCAAGTTGTACGATAGACATGGCCAATAAGACACCTGGGGGGGGGGGCTGGTTGACCATGTTCTTAGTGCACTTGTATTCATGGTGAGGAGCAGACGCCGTCTGGAGGTGACAGGTTCAATTCCCGGCACGGTAACTATAGCTTTCGATTTTTATGTTGTCTAGTGTGTTCTTCTATCTATCTACTTCTTTCTATGAGTGCTGATCAATACACTTTCTGTTACTTGATTAATTCCAATTAAAAAAACTAAGGAATTTTGTTAAGAAACATGCAAAATGAAGTTTAATGCTTATTGCGTTTTTTTCGGGGGGGGGGGGGGGAGTTTCTTTAGCGTTCATAGGCTGTAAGCTTCGACAGAAAGTTTTTCTTGTTTGTCTACTTTTGGTTCTTGTTCGAAAACTTTTTTTAAAAATCTACATTCGTTGTACAGATCTTACCTAATTTTATGCAGACCGTTAGTTCCTTGCCTCTCATGCACATGTAGCCCGACTTCGAAGAAAACACTCCGAATTAGTCGCATCTTACGACACACTTATTGGGTAAAAAGGGGGGGGGGGCGATTTTTGTCCCCTTAATATCAAATATTGCTCCTGAAGCAACACAGGGAGGAGTACCTAATCTATTCCTGTTGATTTAGTATATACGTTATTTTCACAAATATCCGGAAGGTCTGTAATTCAAATCCACTTTCACAATATTTTATATTGTATGCCCAATACATCTGAAAGTGGAAAAGGTTTCTTTACTTTACTATAATTCTTAATCTTCGTCTTCTTTGTTCTTTGGCGACAGGCTTATGCGGAAAGTCTTGGTTATTCGACCGTTCTGACTTTGGCTTTGAGTTTTGTATCTACATATGTTTCACTGGTCCATCTGTGTGCAGCTGGCTGTTCCTTGCCGATCAAGCTGATGCACTTCAACTTCGAAGGAAGTTCACAATCAGGTGATTCCTACGACATGCTTGTTGGGGTAGGCAGTGGGTCTTATTCCTGTCTTCCCCCACAATAGAAACACTTTTTTCATACATTTGTTTTATCGATAGCACTACCATGACCCACCCTGCCCCCTCCCCCCCCCCCTTTTCCCTCATTTGTTTTAGTGTTTCCATTTCTACACCGCCCCTCTAGAATATGGTATATATTGGCAGTAATGACAAAGACTGTCGTGGAAAATATCGTCTATAATACAATCGTTTGAAATCAATGAATGAAGCGGTGAAAGCAAAAAAGGAATTAAATTTTGACAATGGCCTCTTCGTGTGGGTTTCGGGATCCCATTGTGGGGGAAAAACAAGAATAAACCCACTGCCTCCTCAACAAGCATGTCGTAAGACCCGACTAATTATGGGTATGCATAAGTCGGAGTGCATCTGCCTGAGAGACAAGGAATCAAGAGTCTGCATAGAAATGCGCCAGATCTGTGAAACGGAAATGCGCGCAACTTTAGTTCTGGAATAAGACTGTAGGCGGGCGAACACCTAGAATAAGAAGAAGGTGACGTTGGCCAATGTGAACTACTGTTATCAGCGTGCATGCAGTTGTACAAGCCAAAGAAACATTCAACAGTTGCAGATTATACAGAAAGTTACCTCATGCTATTAGATTTGAAAAAAAAAAAAAAAACTATTAACAATGAAACACTTTGACATGTAAAGACAACGTTACTCGCTCAGGCCTAACTTCATCTCCTGCAGAGGTTCTCAAACTTTCTAATGCCGCGACCCTTTAATACAGTTTCTCATGTTGTGATAACCGCCCAACCATACAGTTATGTTCGTTGCTACCTCATAACTTTAATTGTAATGTGTTTTCCGATGGTCTTTGGCGACTCCCGCGAAACGGTTGTTCGACCTACAAAAGGGTGGCTACCAACAGGTTGAGAACCTCTGCTTTAGTGTATAGGTACTTAAAAAGTAGAAAGTAAAGCCAGGGGTGCATTTAGTATCTCTTCTTCTTGTTCTTGGCGTTCACCGGCCAAGGTTAATTATAAATATATGGCCACGATGCAGATTTGAACCCACGACATTTAGTCTGACATGGAAGCTTCTAGTAGCTACCGCAGTTTCAGTTGATAGTTTTATAAATGATTTAAATATGAATACAGGAATAGGTGTTATACATCGAATTATTTGGGTAAAAATTCAACATCGCAGCATTAAGGAAAAGCCCATATTAGCTCCGCCTAGCTCCTCAACAGACAGCAAAGAGTTTCCATACCGATCCTACTCATTGTCATCTGGTTAACTACTCGTCTTGCCTTCCCTCTGAGTCTCGAGTGGCGCTCAGATCCCACAGTCATTCCTCGTTGTATCATTCTCTACAGGTACAGATTTACAGTACCTTTCATTTCATCTGCTACCCTGTCCCACAGGTTTGAGATCACCTCTGTCTTGTGTAGTTGCAGTACACCCCAAAATAGGGTAATTCCAGCCAGTCAATTTGCTTACTCATTCCCAAACACACATGAATAGCCCAGGCAAAATATCAATGTGACTTTCACAACCTGCGACCCCTGGACTGATGCAATTCATTCCATACGAAGAAACATTGACTCCATATTCCTGAGCAGGCTTTGCGAATCCTAAACTATGACAAAACGTGTGGCTGAGATTATTCTTCACCTATCGGAACACCGCAGTTACCGCCTCAATCTCCATTCTCATGCTGAATGTGGTGACGTCAAATGGATATGTGCTTGTCATATATCAATCTTCTAAGAATAAATAAATAAGTTGTCATGCCAGAATCTAAGAATAGGCTGCCGAGTAAGCAAATATACCCATGCATCCAAACATGCACACAAAGAAGAGGGAGAGGAACAGGCACACAGGCAGAGAGCGAGAGAAGGACAGAGAGAGAGAGAGAGAGAGAGAGAGAGAGAGAGAGAGAGAGAGAGAGGAGGAGAGAGAGAGAGAGAGAGAGAGGGGGGGGGGGTGTAATCTGTGTTTTGTATTAATATATCATCATCAAGTGCCTTGCCAACTAGCGTGGGCGATCATGCCTCTCGACAATCTGTGATCCGCAACTGCGTTCGTGTGTTCACACCCCTCCATACCATGACAAAAGGCTGTAAAGAATCTTCTCAAGCTGTCTTCCTCTGTCTCTCTTTCCACAGATCGTTCTAGTGGTCACAACATTTTCCAGTGTCCCTCTTCTAATAGCTAACAAACAAATGATGACTGTCTCTTTCAGATGTTTGTGATAAACATATACCCGAGCAACTAATAGCAAGAGCTAGTCACAGTTGGTACAGTTTACAAATGAGAAGCTTGAAATTCTACAAGAAAATTAGCTGAAGATACTAAAAGCTGGTTAGTGCATTTGTACATGTACAAGCTGAGTACACAGAGTAAGCGAGAACACAAAGCAAGAGATAGCAAAAGTGACAACTGGTACCTACACGCTCACACGTGTTGACCGGAGCATACGTCACACCACTGACCTGTCTTGACATTGACGAGTGGTGAGGGAAGGCATCGTCATGGTTCGCGCCTCCAAACGAGGCTCCGAATGTCAGAAAGGGTGGGAGTTCATTCCTAGGAGATGGATAACGAGGTGGGGGTGATCTCGTCTGCAGTTCCGAGAGGCTGAAGCTAACCGCTTTTCCTTTGGAGGACTGTTGGTAGTCTGGTTGGACAGGAGCTTGGAGTTGCATAAATGTGTTGTCATTGCCATAGTTCTGATTATTTCCTGGTGGGGACGATAAATCGTTCAAGCTAAACTGTTGAGAGTTGCGGTCAGTCGAGTTTTGACCAAGACTGCTGACTTTCTCTGCATCTCTGAGGCTTTCTTGGGATTCAACATTATGAAAAGCGGGTTTAGAAACATTTTTTCTAGTCACGTTTTTATCCTTTTGAAATACCACGCATATGGCAACAATGATAAGAGTGGAGAAGATCACTGTAATAGCAGCCACAACAGCAACAATAATAATATAGTCCTCCCTTTTTCCTTTGACTCCATTGGCGACCTGGGTAGAATTGTCGTACATAATTTCAATTTTCAAAGACGTTGTGTTAATCTTTGGGGGAATTCCCTTATCTGAGACCACAATGCCTACTTCGTACTGTTTCCGGTTTTTCAAACGTGAAGAATGCGCTATTTTGAACTCTCCCGTTGCTTCTGATATTTCAAAGGCCTTGTCCTCATTTCCAGAAACGATTGTGAATTTTAAATTCCCGTTATCGCCTTCGTCATCGTCGTAAGCAATAATTCTGCTGATGACGACACCAGTTTCTGGCAGTGTGGAAATAACAATCGTGTGATTCTGGGATTTGGGAAAGAGTATGGCAGGACTGTTATCGTTGATGTCCGTCACCTCTACGATTACAGTTCCGCTGGACATTTTGGGAGGTTCGCCTTTATCTCTGACCATTACTGTAAACGAATAATTGACTCTTTCCTCCCTGTCCAGAACTGATGAACTGATAATTGATCCGTTAGGGAGGACAGTAAATTCACCGTCAGCTCCATCTAAAGAGCCCGTGAAGAAGAACTCAAACTCCTGGTTCACACCTTCGTCAGCATCATACGCTTCCAGGTTGCCGATGATTCTAGTCCCTTCTTGTTCTTCAACAGTTTGAAATCTGAACACTTTGCTTTTGAGCTCTGGGGCGTTGTCGTTCACGTCATTTAACACAACGAATACGTCAGCATGTCCATTTAGTTCTTGCGGTTTTCCTTGATCGGTTGCGTATACCTTGAAGCGCATACCTGGGGTAAGCTCTCTGTCTAGATTACCAATAGCCGTTATGACACCCGAATCTGGATCTATACTGAAGTACTTGCTGTAGGTAGGGTCAATACTGTATCTTACAGCACCATTTGCCCCCGCATCTTTATCACTGGCACTGACTTGCAATACAAACTCTTCATTTTTCTGCCCCTCTGAGATAGTTCTGCTATACCTCTGCTGTGTGAACACTGGAGCATTGTCATTTGCGTCTTCTATACGTACAAGCAAATTCACTGAGGTATTCAAAGGCGGGTTCCCGCTGTCAGTACATGTAATTGTCAAGTCATACGATGGGGTGGTTTCTCGATCAACCGGTTCCTGCAGCTGAACTGAATAACCTTTACTTGGCACATGCTCCATATTGAAGAGTTCGTTGTTTATTTGGCAGGCAACATTATCATCCCCATCATCTTCTACAACAGCGAAGACAACAAACAGACCCCGCCATCCTGGTTCCTGGATGGACACAGTGTTCTGATCAGAGTTGGCGCCCAACTGTGTGATGGATACTCGAGGTGGAGTGTTGCCACTATTGACAACGTTGACACGAACTACTGTTTGAGATTTCAGCCGTGGAGTTCCAGAATCCTGAGCTTCCACGATAAACTCACTTATCCCAGACCGCAAGTGCCCAGAAACAGAAATCTCCCCAGTGCTTGAATTGATGTTGAACGGGTTCGCCAGCATTTGCTTTTGAAGGTTACTGAAATGGTATGTCACTAATGCGTTGGCGGCTTCGTCTGCATCGTCTGCAGACACCTGTAGTATGACAGCATTCGGCGCGGTTTTGCCCTCGATTGTTATATCATAAGAGCTGTTTAGGAATACTGGAGCATTGTCATTGATGTCCGTGACATTCACAGTCACCGACAGAGTAGAAGACCTTGAAGGGGAACCTCCATCGTACGCAGTCACCGTGAAGACATACTGGGCCTTTGTCTCTCTGTCTAAGGACTTTGTTAAAATTAAATCAATATTCGAACTCCCATCAAGGGTTTGAGAAGTGGTCAGTGCAAAGACATCATGGAAGTTGTCAAGAGTGTAGTTTTTTAGCCTAAATGTTGGATTAAAATCCATGTCGTTTGCCCCATTGATTTTCCGTGATGAATTCAAAGAATTACCCTCTGGAATAGTTAACACCACAGCGCTGTTCTCGAAAGTTGGAGCATTATCATTGATATCAAGGATTTCAAAATTTACTGTCAGAAACCTTGAATTAAACTGTAATTGGGCAGAAACTACCACATCGATCCTCAAAACGCACTTTTCTTTCATGAAGCACAGCGCTTCTCTGTCTATACGTTTGGCCACATAAATATTTCCACCAGTTTTGCTGATGTTAAACAAAGAACCTGGTGAGCCAGCCTGGCTGAGAATGCCGTATTGTAGTGAAGCCTTTTCTTGGTCGGTGAGACCAGAAAACACGGAGGTAATGTTCGTTATGTTGCCCACTTCAGTAGATATAGGCAGTTCCTCGTAGATGGTAAATGTAGGCTCCTTCGGCTGCGAGAGTACCAAACTGACAAGTCCTAAAAGGATTACCACAGTCGCATAACCTACAGTGGCCATGTTTCACTTAGGTAGTTACGTTGTATTTTTCTCTACAGCTTTCTTCTTCTATATAAAACCTTTCGGCACTTTAACAAAAGTGTCTATTTTATCGAAAGTCGTAGTATCTTAGCAACACTATTGTCTCATTTCAAGGTTATATGAAATTCTCTTTGCTTTTAACTTTAAGATTATTTGTGTTGCCAAGTATTTTTCATATACGCTTCTCTATCGTTTTCTTCCTCGATTGATGAATCTCATCTGAATTGTCTTAGCTAGATATCAGTCTTAATCACCTCCAAACTAATCGATGCAGAAAACAAAACACCAGCACGTCTGTGCAAATAATACTAAAACAGTCTATTCCCTCCACCTGGAAACAGAATTCCTTCACCTTGAAAACAGGAAAATTTTTTATTTCTTTAGCCGAAACCAAGGAAAATAGCGTACTCCTTCGTATGCGCAAACGAGTTTTCTTAGCGAGTCAACGAAATGCCAACACAAACAGCGATTTTGCTGCCTGTTTGAAGCGTTACAAAACGCCAAATAATGAAAGCCACACAAGTCCAGGCTATATACCTGATCTCATATATTCTTGTTTACAGCATCAAATCCTGTTTTCCTTCCACCCTTCGGATCAAGAGTCACCTGTGGTAACAGGGGAGATAAGAAGGCACTGAATATTTCCCCTTGTATCTGACAGAATATACCAAATGCGCCAACTGCCACTAAGATACCCACAGACACTATAATCCTGTGGATTACCTTGCCGCAAACAAGCCTCACTTATCTATAGACTGACGTAAATCCTGTCTTAAGATACTCCTTTTGCTTGTATGACACATTGGGGTCAGATATTTCTTGGCTTAAAGCACTCACTGTCTTTGTTCTTCGTAGACTTTTCCTAGAATATCTCTGGTTGGTTTAGTCCAGTAGTGCGTTACTTCGACACCGGTAAGTATCTGTGAAAAAAGACACGTGGATATTAGTTGTATGAAGCAGATAAGAGGTGAAATCATATGTACGTAAAACACATGCTGCCTTCTTCTTCTGCCATCTATCCAAGAATAGATCATAGGCTCTAAACAAAAATACGCCAGGTCATTCTACATACTCCGCTATTGCATGCATCTCATTCCATGTCCTTGTTGTACACTTAATTTGTACATTCTTTTGTATACTTTATATTCAACCAAGTATTTAGGCCTAGGGTGCCTATTCTAGTATTCCGCTGGATATCTCCTTGATGGATGTGCTACAGTGAAGTCCTGCATTCTATAACTGGCACACTTGGCACCGACACAGCATCATGTAATACAGTCGCTACCTTTACAAGCCAACAATAACGCTTGTGACAGGCCACATAAACTTTAATGGCATTAAAGTTACACGTCACAAGATGATGATGATTATTCAATAAAACATGTACGATAATAAATCTCCATTATCTATTCTGATGATATAAAAGATTACAGCAGCTTTTCTCAATGGGCTCCTGCCATTAAAATAAGTACATAGACATTGAACTGTCTCCCGCAAACAACGGTAAATCAAAACCTCACAAAGAGAAAACGTTTCTATAATATCCTCATACAGAGAGCCAACACAGTTTCCGCTAACCCCGCGGAAACACGTCCGACTTGGACAATGGAAATATCTCAACTGCCGAATCCTTTGTGTTCTGCAGGAGCCTTTGTGTTAATCGCCCAGCATTCAATTAGCTGGTATCCCAGGTAACAGACCCGACCGGTGGCCGCTGTGTGAACCTTTCACCTGCGCTATGACCACTAGAAGAAACTAGAAGAAACTTTAACTCTTGGACTATAAGATTACAACAGCTTATCCCCCCCTCTCACAAACTGAAAATCTATGTTTTCAGTTGCATAATTTTAACTCTGTTGTAGTCATCTAGACAACTTATATTCGAATATACCTAGTGAAATCCACATGTAGTTAAGTGAGAATGCATGTAAACGAAATGATGATAACTTTTGTTATAATAAGAATGCATGTAAATAAAATGATGATAACTTTTAGTTATAAGACATGAAATAACAACAAGAAATACAATATAATATCATAACTGGTTCACTAATAACTCATAAGCTAAATCCACATATCATAATTACTGTCAATCCCAATAAATGGAATCATCTGTCCAAAACACTTGAGAAATTAACTAACTAAACACTTCTCATAGGTATGTCCTTGAAATATACATATCTGGATAAAGTATGTTGATACCAATATATAAGCATCCATTGCAGTGTAGTGAGGTATAAAAATTCCAATGTGAAAAGGAACTGATTGTCTCATGACGTACAAGGAAATCTGGACAAATAGTCAGCAAGTACGTTCTCCTTACCACTCCGGTAGATGATGGTATAGTTAAAAGTCTGAAGAAACAATGTCCAACGAAGAATACGGGCATTTGTTACAGACCCTGTGTTCAAAACAGCAAGTGACTTGTGGTCTGTAATTACATAAAACGTTCTCCCTATTAGGTACCTGGAGAATTTAGCGATGGACCAGTAAATTCCCAGTGCTTCTCTCTCTCCGACACTATAGCGTGTTTCAGTGTCGGACAATTTGCGACTTGCATAGAGGCAAGGATGTAAAGTCCCATCGTACATTTGGGAAATTACTGCTCCCAGTGCGACATTTGAAGCATCCGATTTAAATCCACAGATGCGATCCTTAGGCGTCGTACTGCTATCCTTAGGCGTCGTACTGCGATCCTCAGGCGTCGTACTGCGATCCTTAGGCGACGTACTGCGATCCTTAGGCGACGTACTGCGATCCTTAGGCGACGTACTGTGAACAGGGACCTAGTAGTAATGATGCTAAACTCAAGCATCCATTGCCGAACTCCGTTGAAGAATGTCAATTACGGCCGAAAAAAACGAGTAATTCTATAGAGTCAAATAACACTGCTAATGTCACCAGCACTTTATACAGCTGTAAACGGCAATCAATTAAGGCCTACTGTTAGTTCACGTATGTCCGATAAGTTCGTAAAGCTGCTAGAAACACTCGTTAGCACTGCATACACTTAAAAAAAATAGTTTATAACTCCTTTCAGGATCCGTTAATTTATAACGTCTATGTGCGAACAGTTAAATGTATTCGTTCAAGCGATTATCAGTCAGTAGCACGAACACTGGATAAATCAACACTGTTTATAAATCCATCAAAGGACCGGCTTGGCCATCCACTGTTGTACACTTAATTTGTACATTCTTTTGTATACTTTATATTCAACCAAGTATTTAGGCCTAGGGTGCCTATTCTAGTATTCCGCTGGATATCTCCTTGATGGATGTGCTACAGTGAAGTCCTGCATTCTATAACTGGCACACTTGGCACCGACACAGCATCATGTAATACAGTCGCTACCTTTACAAGCCAACAATAACGCTTGTGACAGGCCACATAAACTTTAATGGCATTAAAGTTACACGTCACAAGATGATGATGATTATTCAATAAAACATGTACGATAATAAATCTCCATTATCTATTCTGATGATATAAAAGATTACAGCAGCTTTTCTCAATGGGCTCCTGCCATTAAAATAAAGTACATAGACATTGAACTGTCTCCCGCAAACAACGGTAAATCAAAACCTCACAAAGAGAAAACGTTTCTATAATATCCTCATACAGAGAGCCAACACAGTTTCCGCTAACCCCGCGGAAACACGTCCGACTTGGACAATGGAAATATCTCAACTGCCGAATCCTTTGTGTTCTGCAGGAGCCTTTGTGTTAATCGCCCAGCATTCAATTAGCTGGTATCCCAGGTAACAGACCCGACCGGTGGCCGCTGTGTGAACCTTTCACCTGCGCTATGACCACTAGAAGAAACTAGAAGAAACTTTAACTCTTGGACTATAAGATTACAACAGTCCTCTCCACCTTTTTTAAACTTCACTCACTAGCTTATTTCTCCATGTACGTCTCCATCCATGCATCCATCCATTCATCCATCCATACTCACACTTCCCCGTGTGGGTTCCAGTGCCCCATTGTGGGGGAGAACAAGAATAGAGCCACTGCCTGCCCAAAAGCATGTCGTAAGAGTCGAATTTTTGGGAGCTTCCTTTGAAGTCAGAGTACATCTGCCTGAGGCAATGAAACCAACAGTCTGCATGCAAATGAGTGCGACCTGTGAAACAGATGTACACTCAACACTCAGTTCCCGGAATATGACTAGAGATCAGAAGTGGACGAGCCACCAGAACTTTTCGCCGGAGTTCACAGCCGGTGAAAACGAAGAAGAAGAAGACGAAGAAGAAGAAGAAGAAGAAGAAGAAGAAGAAGAAGAAGAAGAAGAAGAAGAAGAAGAAGAAGAAGAAGAAGAAGAAGAAGAAGAAGAAGAAGAAGAAGAAGAAGAAGAAAAAAAAAGAAAAAGAAAAAAGAAGAAGAAGAAGAAGAAGAAGAAGAAGAAGAAGAAGAAGAAGAAGAAGAAGAAGAAGAAGAAGAAGAAGAAGAAGAAGAAGAAGAAGATACACTCACATTCACACACAAACACATTCACTCACACACAAGCGAATGTTTCTACCAAAGTATCAAGGACTCCTTCCCTCCCCCATCCACCCTTTCCCCCAAAAGAATTTAGGCATCTGTATAATAGCATTAATGGCAATCTTCAATACCATTTTGCAGCACATAAAAGACAGCAATGATGACATACAAAGCCGCTAAAGAAAACATTTGTCTCCCTTCTCTCTGACAGACCCCAATGACGGCAGGAAACCAGTGCCATTCCTCCTCCCTTTGTATACCCCAACGGGTGAAATGAATCTCGGGAAATTACGCGGGCTGCCGGCTCATTACTGGGGTTTCGATGATTGCGAAACACGATTGACACAATGAGAAATGCACGCAAGTGAATGTAGCAGGGAGAAAGTAAAATGCACTCCCATTACGTCTTCTGAGAATTAATCTTTAGAAAGCCATAATTTACAAGTTTCTACCGAGTGTTTCCTTTCTTTCCTTCAATTATTTCCTTTTTTCTC